ATGAAGATGTATTAAAAAATGTTCTGATAAGAAAAATAAATAAAAAATGCCCACTTAGAAGACCAATAACAAGATGGAACAACACCGTAGAAAAGGATATGAGACTAATAGATGAACATGCAACGTTAGACTGGACTTTGGACAGAAAGAAATGGAAAGACTTACTAGTGGCAGCGCAGATCCTTAATGGACCCTTAAGCTGTTGAAGAAAAAGAAGAAATCATATAAATTAAAATATTGAAGGTTATGGTGGTGACAAAAACCATTCTGGAAATCAATAAGATACACATGATAATAAATAAATGTCTGGTATGTACGTAATATATTATTTAAAAATACAATATTTGAACAGTCCATACATGACTGTGCACTGTGATTTGCAATATGTTGCAACAAATTACATGTATAATTATTATAATCGTAATCGTTTTTATGGTTTTATTGTTTATCACATCAGAAGTGTATTTAATTGTGTTTTCATATTTTAAAACAGAAAATTATACCGGCAACGATAGGAAAAAATCTTATACCAGATCAATAAATTAATATAATATAATATAATAATAATTATATTTTATATATTAATACCAAATATTATAATACCAAATAACCATCGGTTATTTATTGAAGTTTGGCCGTATATAGTGAAGTGAATGGCGGGATTTATAATCTAAATAAAAAAATTAAAGAAACAATAACCGTCGAAAACACGATTTCTCGGGGGAGTAACAACAGCATTGCACATACGCACTACGTACATAAATTTCGAAAACCTCGACGAAGATGGGATTCGAACCCACGCGTGCAGAGCACATTGGATTAGCAGTCCAACGCCTTAACCACTCGGCCACCTCGTCATATGAACTTCAAGGTAATTCAAACAGTTTTATAACGTACAATGGATTGCTAATAAAATTAATTATTATATATGAATTACTTTGATTGCATATTTTTTACAATTTCCCTAAGGAACAGAATATCTCGGACATATCTGTGTACCATTTAGAGAAAAATATATAAGACACCCATCGGAATATTTCAAAACAAATGTATACATTAGGTTTTAGTGTTCTGCGCGGTCCGTTATTTTAAGGATCAGACCGAGCTTCAAATTTTACCAAGGGGACCGAAGTCGGACCGGACCACACTTAAACGTTAATCAAAGACCAAAATTGGACCAAATCAATGGTTTCATATAATTTTTAGACCGAAACGGGCCAGTAATTAAATAACATTTAATAAAGTAGACCGTGAACCGGACTGTCGGTCCGATCTTAAAACATTTTGGACCGTTTATGGACCGGTCCGTAAGGTTCAGTCTGTATTAGCCCATACCGTACCATATAATGCATTTAGTATTACACTGGACTGGACTACCTGACTTTATAAATAAATTTATACCTAAAGTTGTAGGTTTTTTCGTTTCATTTGTTTACATAATAAATATATATTTAGATTTTAAGTACCGTGATTGGAACCAAACCGGACTGATTTTCATTTTTTTTTTTTTTTTTTGAAACCGGGCTTGATTAAAAATAATGCATATGATCTGAGAATTGGACCGAACTACTCCTAAAAATTATTGAACTGGACCAAACCGATGATTCAATAGATTTTGTATGTTAGGACCATACTAGACCGGACCACGGTCCGGTCCGGTCCAGACCAGACTGATTAAGACCGGACTATGCAGAGCACTACTAGGTATTATTTGCCACATTATTTAATACTACAGTGGACATGAGTGAAAAGTTAAAATGTTGGTAGATTATGGTAGGTATAATAAATCAATTGCCGCTCGTAAAGTTCACATAAGGGAGTATATATGTTAAATAATTTGTAATATACCTATGTAGGTGGGTAAAAAAATATTAATTTTTTTATTGGTATAGATAGGTACAAATCCCCCTAGGTCTTTTTTTAAATGTTATAAAATACTGTGCTTAGTGTGAGAGCTTTAGAAACGTAAAAAAAAATAATAATGATTTGTTTGCAAATTATCACCCCATACAAAAATTACGATGTGTGTAATAACTAGTGATGGGTTGAACCCTGATTTTTTAAATCGAACCAAACTTGAACCGAACTTTAAATTATTTTTTCGAACTCGAACCGAACCTTCATATTTTATACCAAACCGAACCTATTATGATAAGTCGAACTCGAACTCGAACTCAATACTTTTTATCATGTACATTGTACCTACCTACAAATTAAATCAACCATAATTATTAATTACTATTGTATTTTAAGTTTATGAAAGATTATGATGATGACGTAAGCATTCAGTAAAAATGTCAAGTTTCTACAATATTTATTGTTTATTGTACGACGAAAAGAAAAATTCGATTTTGCCCAAAACCGGTATGCTACAAATGTTACAAATGTTTTTTTTTAATAATTTTTCGTCATTTCATCACAGTTATTATGAAAACTGTTGAGTAATTCTTAAAATGACCTACCTCCTCGAAATGCCAGTCAGAACCCATTTCCTATCTTTTACTTCGGACTCGGTAATGATTGAGATCAACCTTTCCGGTCGAAATTGTGTACAGAAAAATATTTAACACGCATTATAGTGAATACAATACATTCCTCGTTTCGTTCAGAATCGATAACGATTTACGAAAACACAATATCCGGTTGCTGTTGTTATCACATTGATTTTCATTTTACTGTCGATAATCGTAATAAAAAATAAAAAAAAAAAAGTGGTTCAAATCACAGGTATGACGAGTTTTGTGCCTGATTTCATAATGAAAACGTGGTGATTCCCTGGAAAATCTAAATAAACGTACAACGGATAGGGCCGCAGATGTGAGCCCCCTTGCGAGTTCTACGATCGGAAAACCAGCGAGCGTTTTTACCGCACACGCTAAACCCGAGGACGGCATTTAAATCCGCATTCAGACGGATCGGGACCGTGCAAGTAATCGGAAAGGATTACCGACGTAAGGAAACAGCAGTAGACGGTAACCGCACGAGCATGACCGTTTTCGACCAAAAACGTACCCTTCCCTTTTCGGCCGATTCATTTTCCGACCAAATTTAAAATAGGTCGATTCCCTTTTAGACCAAAACAAAAGTTTATGTAATAAATTTAAAATAATAAAATAATTATATACAATTTTTGCCAATAATTATTAAAATATAAATATAAAAGAGAACGATATTTTGTATCTAGTTTTGATCTCTTATCGGTAATAAAAATTGTTTGCATTTTTTTTTTGAAAAATCGGAATTTTAATATTAAATATTTTAGGACTTGGCTCGTTACGCCTGCTGGATCCAATCACCAACTTGAGTGCCACTGCGTGGCATTTTTCGAGGGGATGGGGCTTCACCCCAAGGGGAATTATAGTCTAAACCTAACCAAGTTTTTATACAAACCTTGATACTGTTGCAAATGGGATTAAGTATGTGAACCTAAAACCTCGCTACATGAGTAAAACCCTGAATCGTCATTAATATATTATAGTAGTTTCCATCATAATCAAACATTATAAATCTATATTTTATTATTTTAAATTTATTATATAAATTTTTGTTTTGGTCGAAAAAGGAAGGGTACGATTTTGGTCGAAAAGTGAATCGGCCTAAAAGATAAGGGTATGGTTTTGGTCGAAAACGGACTCGCCCACACTACGTAGACGGGCTCGAGGCTGTGGGACGCGCACGCGACACGCAACGTAATTAGTCGACGCCGCGGCCGACGTACCTTCTCCCTCACACGGTGCATTGGTTTGTAATACATCGCAAATGCCGGCAGATATAACCGTCAGCGGATCCCCCTCCCCCCCGAAGCTTCGCACGCCGTGCGGGCACTTGGTGGTACACTCTTACCGACAGCGGCGGAGGGTCGCCATGGGAACGCGCGCGCTGCGTAGGAGCCATTCGCGGCCGGACTGCCGACGGGGTCGGTCGATTCCGAAAATGCGTGGGTGCCCCCCTCATTCGCCGTCATTTAACTAGTTACCAAACCTATCGCGTGGCGAACAAAAATCGTCGTAGACACCAAAACAACACACGCTCCGACGACTTGGGCGACTCTCGCGTGCTTCTTCGTCGCTGAACCAATCGATTGTCTATAACAAATAATTAAAAACCTACGTATATCAAGTCCTCTACTGCCACCCGGCCGATATGAGCAGTAAACCACGGACTAAGATATTATATATGTAGTAGACCATACGACAGTGTTTCCCAATCCAACTATCGCTAAGGCTACCCAAAAGTGTCCGCAAAAAAAAAAAAAATAACACGACAAAACTAAACTCTGAAATATAGAAATAATAATTGTACTTTGATAAACCAAGATATTTTTCTTGTTATTAGCTTACAGCGACCCATAGGTTGGGAAATGCTGCTATATGATATCGTTTTACCAACACAGATCCATAACCATAGTTATCGAATTTCTAAAGTGTTGATAGAAATGTATTAATGTTTCCCAACATAATTTACGCATTTTCGTTGAATTAATTCCAACAGCTTCTCGATTTTCAATATCATAATCAACATTATATCTTCTTTGTAGTTTCTTTGACATTCCCAAGAAATTTAAATTTAAACTTAACAAACGCCAACAAAATAGTTTTTATCAATCAAATGTAATAAATAAAACTTTGTTAATTTATTTCTAAAAATATATATAATCCAAGAATTGATTAACTACTTGATGATTTACATATTTATATACAATTTTGAACACTTAATAGAAATACATTTAATGAATTTTTATTTTTTAATATAATTTACAAGTGCCAATCTTTATGTGATTACACCTATTGTATTATAATAATTCCTATCATGTCATACTGAATACATTTTTTTATATAATTCAAAAAGATAATTAAGGTCAAGAAATTCTTTACTTGAATATTTGAAGAATTCAATAATATATCTGTTAAAATTATTATTTTTCATGAATTTATACCAGGAACTCATTGAATAAAATTAAAAATTTAATAAATTTGAACCCATGAACTTATGAAATAAAAATATAATTAATTACACATAAAATAAATATAATACAAAAACTAGGGTAGGTGGTAATTATTTAAAATGCATATCTTGTTCTTATATCTTCCAGCCGTTTAGACACTTCAGCTGGTGTTTTGTCAAGATCAGCAGCAATGCTTTTTTGTTTAGCAATATCAATAGAATTGTATTGTTCACATAAATCTCCATCACAAACATTCTAAAAAAAAATAAAAAATAACAATTTAGCTAATTATTTCAATGATAAAATATATTTTCAATTCACTAACCTTAACAGGGAAATAATAAGATCGATATGATAGATGATCTCGTCCACAAAGAGGAGAATTTTCTGAACGCATATGCATTTCAAGATGTTGAAAAAAGTCTTGTTCTTCATGAGCAGTAAATGGCACAAGAACTCCAATAGTACCAGTCACAGTAGCATAAACTAGGGATTCAGAACCACCTGGTATCAAAGTGGCTTTCTGATAAAATAAAAATAAAAAATGAACAATGCTAGAAATTACTTAATACTAATAAGTAATAACAAATAACCAACTGGATTTTAATCTTAAAAAATATTTGTTTCCATTTGGAAAACAAGTTGTATGTATTTAAATATAATCTTAAATGGTAAATTCATTTTTTATAAATCAGAATTTAAATAAATACATAATTAAAGCATAAAAATGGGTGAATAATTATTACAATAGACACTTATATGAAGAAGGGTCCAATTCAAACTTTCTTTTTAACTTTTTATTGAAGGAAGAAAGTCATAACTTCATTCATTGGCTTTTTCCTCTACAGTAAAATTATAATTATAAATTATTGTATATTACTGTATGTATATAGGCCATTGTTCTACCAACATATAAAATGAAAAAAATTAAAGTTAAAGAAAAAAAAATATTTGTCAAAAACAAGTAATTGGGCCTCTATTCTTATAAGTATCTTATAATTATTATATAATATTACTATTATAATTAAACAATTATTGTACTTATCACTTTATATATAAATACATTAACAACTTACTTGTATTGAGGTACAAATTTCTCCAACATGAAAATTTACAATAAAATCTGCTTTCTGAGAAGCACCATTGAGTAAACCACGATCCCAAAGACTTTTATTACCAGTTGGATCATCATCAACCTCATCAGATATTGATGAAGCTAATCTTACCTGAAATAAAAAAAAATATATTAAAGAATAAACTAATTAAACTAAATAAACATTTGCTACATCCAAAAGGTTTAAATTTAAGTCCATGAATTCCATACCACTGAAATATTTCCACATTTGTCAGCAGTAGCAACAGTATTGTAATCGAGAATTTCCATAGCTGTTATATATCTGGGTTGTGTATCATCAGCAAATATGATTAGTTGATTTTCATTTCGCTTGTATCGTACCATATAAACACTTTCTTGAACATCGCTAACATAAATCCTGCAGCCCATAACACGAATTCCTACTATCAGTAATGGGATTTGCTGAAATAATAGAAAAAAATATATATAAAAAACAATTAAAAATGTAAAAATTTGAATACTTACTTTATTTTCACATTTCCTTAACAGTTTTTTTTTACCAATATCATATAGACGTAATATTCGACCAATGCCAATAACTACACGTCCTTGGAAACCACATATGGCAGTTGGAACATTATCAACTGTTGTCTTGTGCACTAATTCTAAAGATGTGCATGTTGGATTAACTCTGAAAACAATATTAGGTATGAAAATGTTTTTTTATAAAACTAATTTAATATTCTATTATGAAAATAAACTAAACTTACTTATAAGTATAGATATATCCACAAGTTACATGTCTTGGATTCAAATGAAGTTCATTGGCAACACCAAATAAAACAAATTGTGAATCTGGGTAACTTGAAAAACGTACTAAAGCAACACTATAAAACAAAATTCATATTAATATTAACTTGTTAAAATTAAAAAAAAAAAAAAAATGATTAAGTAAAAACCTCATAACTGCTTCATTCTGAGGGAACCTATAAACAGCTTCTGTTATACCTAGAACTGGATTGAACAATCTGACTAATGATGCCCACATTCCAGGACCAGCTTTAGGAGCACCAAACATATTTTCTGGTAAATCTTCATTCAAAAATGCTTCAGCCATTTCCTTAGCCAATTCTTGTTCTTCTTCTCCAGCAGCTTCTTGCATTTCTTCTGCCATTTGTATTCGCCTCTGTTTTTTTGTTTGTTCAGTATATGCATTATGTTCAGTTTCTACCACAATTAAATGAGCAGAATCTGGGTGAATAACAAACTTTCTGGGTGTATATTCAACAGGAAATGAAACTTGGTTAAAAACAGCGCCCAATTTTTCCAAGGCCAAAATGCGTAAGGTATTACCAGATATAGCAACTATACCCTCAGGACACTGTTCTGAAGAGAAACCAGATGCATATTCTAAACTTTCATATGATAAGGGTGTGAGATGAAAACGATTTTGATAATAATAACTTAACCATGATCTACTGGACATGGCGAGTACCTGAAAAATAAGAATAAGAATTTAACACTAAAATACCTTTAAGTCATGCAAAACACTTACTGCTTCATTTCCTCGTGTTTTTATTTTAAACAATTTGACTGGTTTTCCTCCTAAGTAACGTGCTCTTGTATCAGCCATTTCTCCAGTGACACCATCCAAAACAGTACGAAGTAATACACCATTTTGTAAGCCAATGTTTAAATATAACATTGATAAAGAATTCATTCCTGGTTCATCCGAAGAGCCTCCATCACAAGCACCCATTTCTACAATACATAATGACTCAGGCATTGCTGGTATAGCTTGCATTTTCAACTGAACTAAACAATCCTTTAAATAAACAAATTAATATTAGGTTAATTAATTATATTCAATTTATAAAAAGTAATCAAGAAAAACTTACTGTGGTGTCTAAAGAAATAATACGAACAGTTTCATCAGTTAAACCAACTGCTAAAAAGCGTGACATCTGTTCTCCAGAAGGAGCATTTGCCAATGCCATACAAAGAACATCGGAATTCATTTCTTTGCGGTCTTTATGTTCATTTAAATGTCCGGTCTAAAATAAGTGTCAAATAATACATATATTAATAATAAACATATATTCATCAATATATTAAAAAACAAAATAATGTGTAAACATGGTTCACTTCAATGAGCATGTGTCGGCTATTAGAAGGCGACATGTTTGCTATTTCATTTAGCATCAATTTAATTAATTTATAATTATTCAATTAATTAAAAGTAATTCAAATAGTAAATTGTGCATAACATATTATAAAAATAAATCAATTTTAATTGAATAATAAATGTACAAATATGGTTCACTTCAATGAGCATATATCGGCTTTTAGAAGGCGACATACTTGTTAAATTATTTTTGCACCAATAAAATAATTTGATTGAAATATTAAATTATAAATAAATATTTCAAATAAATAAATGATGCCAGTTAATTAAAATATTATTAAAATTATAATCAATTATAATTATTATTTAATATAAATATATATATATATATATAAATATTTAAATTTATATATTATAAATAAATCTCTAAATTTTTAAAATATATTATGATATACTAATAAATTATTAACCAATAAAAAATATAATAGTTTAGTGATTAACTCTTAAATAATAAGAAATATTATTAAATAAATACTTTTAACATGAATATAAATAAAATATAGAAAACTACTTAACGTAATGATATTTTAAAAAGGAACTTATTATAAATATTTGCACAAACAATATAATAATACTTCAAATTAGGACTAATTTTTTTTAAGATTCTAAATAAAACAAGGAATGAATTGGTTTAATCATTAAATGTGTCAGTGTACTCAATTTTAACCATAAAGATTTGTTTTGATCATTTTAATTAATTTTATTTAATTTTTGTTTATTTTCATAACTTAAAAAATAATAAATATAGACATGACATTTTGGCTATCTTGTTGTATGTGCTCTACCCTAGATATACACTCTATTATGCAATTTATATCTTTATTATTGTGATAATAATAAAGATAAGTACTCTTTCTTCCTGTATCATATAATTTTTGATCATATATTTAGTCGCCCGGTGACAATACTTGAGTCCACACTTCATACACGATTTTATATTTTCACGTGACATTCAAAATGATTACAAAAGAAATTTACAAAATTATACATAACGAAGAATCAGTTACTAATTTTTTAACTGCGTAGAAAATATTTTTTGTGATAAATGTGATAGTGAAATGATGTAATACATAAAAAAAGAATGCGGGATAGTAAGGAAATTGTTGAGATGTAAAAGGAAAGGGTGTCAAACTACTCAAAGTATAAGGTAAGAAACGTTATTTAATATTTCAGATATAATATTAATTACCTATGTATTTAAAAAGGACAATAGTTTTTGGACGTACATTGACAAAAATGGCCGTAACAATAGCGGATTGAGCATCGGTGCACAACTTAAACTCATCTATTATTAGTGTCAAAATATAACAGTCTACAATTATCACTTTAACCGGTACATCAGATCAAACAGTGTGTGACTGAATGAACTTATGTCATGATGTACCTGTCAGAATGTTTCAAAATAGTACTAAATTTGGAGGACTTAGAATAGTGATCCAAGTTGACGAATACTTATTAAGAGAGACGAGGAAAAATAATAAAGGTCGACTTCAACTTTAGAGAAGAGCACATAAAAATGGTAGAACACAAACTGCAGTTGCAATGTTGCCAATAGAGTGCATATGACAAGATAGCTATCATTTTTTATTTAATATAGAAAATTACATATTTTCTTAGCAATTTATCAAAAATTAAAAATTAATTTATTCTGATTTGACAGTAATGAAAATGTAATATTATTAAATTCCTCTAAACATATTTATTACAGATAATTTTCAAATAAAAATTTACAAGTTATTGAATATAAGATCTTGAAAAAATAAAACAATCACTGAAATCAACGATAATTTTTTTTAGAAATATTTTAAACTTTAATACATGGAGCTTGATAATTTGATAAAATATTATCTAAATAATCTATAATAGAAAAGAATTTCTAGAAAAATTAAAAAAGTTTTATATGTTACAAAATTAGATAGTTTGACGAATTTTTATTAATATAGTTATTTGTTATTCTATAAATATTAATCATAGTAACTCTTAAAATTAATGAATACTTATACTTATAATAGTATTTTAAAGAAATTTCATGGTTTGGAAATATTTAAATAAAATTTGTGCTCTCTATAGGCATTTTTGCCTTTATTATTTATATTTATATTGATATGGAAATATTTAATATTAAATAAATTATTTATATATTTAAAAATGCTTAATTATAATTTACTATCAAACAATTTAAAAATAAAATTTTATTTATAAAGAAAGACTATGTTAAGCAATTTATTTACCGGATCCATTTCAAAATATACAAGTTCACCACCACCAAGAGCAATCACAACTTGTCTTTGATTGGCAGCACACTTAACAATTTTTTTTTTTTCTGGAGCTTTCCAATCATGCATTCTTTTATCAGAACGTATATGACGTACACCATTTGGATATATTTGAACTACAGCATCATCACCTAATGGAGAACAAGATAGTGTTGGTGTAGTTCCTAAGAAACCTGAGTCTGAAACTTCTTCCACTGTTTCTCCAATAGACAATACTAGAGTGGCATTTGAGAAAGACACAATGATATAGGCATCATAACTTTCTGAAAGAATTAAAACAAAATATATCATCAAATTTTATCTTCATTTTTTAGATGGAAATTTTTTTTTTTTTTTTTATCATAAAGAAAAGCAAAATTCAATCAAAATTAACCATCAATATTTTTCTTTGGAAATCTAATATGAAATTAACTATTAACAAAATAAAATTGATTATACAGAAGATTTAAAAATAAAAAAATATTTGTCAAGTAAATTATTCAAAATCAATAGGATAAAAACTTTAGCAACTTGAACTTAAATATTTTTAAGACAAAAAAAAGATTAAACTATATTTTAACGTTGTGATCAATAGTAGACAACTAGTTGATTGTTTAGTGTTGGAATGTCTCATATTAGGACTCATCCTATTTACATCAATATGCTGAAACAATGAAAATATTATACACCAGTATTGTCTAGTCACTTAACAAATTTATCTTACAATATAAATTAATGAACTTATTTTCTTTAACTATTTCAGCTGAGGAAGTGTGTTCTTATTTTATAAGTGGATTTCTTCAATCACTCCCGTCCAACTCTACAACTTACCTATTTGATTCAGAGCCACTACGGTGATTCAATACCTGAAAAATAAACGAACTGATGTTTGATAGATTTTATAATCTATTCACCAGCGCATTAATATACGATTGGATTTTAAGATTTCATAAGAATATTCAAATAAAATAAGAGTGGACATTTTGGGAGGTTTTAAGATAACTTATAAATAGCCTATGTACCTAACTAATATTTAATAGATAGTATACATAACAAATAATGTACCTATTTTAAGGTTATATAACTTAAATAAAATTAACTTATAATCTAAATATATACAGTAGAACTTCTGTAACTCAAAATCCAAGCAGAAAAAAAAATTGATTCCTTTAATTTAATTTCTGTAGAATAAAATTTATTTTTTCAGTTGGGGTATACATATAATTATATTAAGATTTAAGTTATAGAAGTTCTATTATATTGACATATTTAAACAAATAATAAAAAATAAATAGTAATCCAAATAAGTGAAAAGTTATTTTGGGTCAAAATATTAAATTTGATATCTTACCATCAGCTCTTCTTTTTACTGTCCACACTGCATTTGGACTGCCTGGCAGTTCAGATACAGCCATTTCTGAAACTTCAAGTCCATGTCTTAAAACTCTTAAAGTAGACCTCGATCCTCGACCACAAGCCATATATAATTGTGGAGTATCTTCGGCAGCTAAAATACAAATATGAATCGGTTGGCATAAGTAAACTTAATCTAATATTTTCTAAATAATACTAATTACAACATCCATATTAGGGTTGATAAAAAAATATGTATTTATATTATCAAATTCCAATTATAATATTTTTTATATAGTAGCATAGAATAAATATCTTATTTTTTTTATTTAATTAGTATGTCAAATACATAGTGGACATATATAACAATAAGTATACCAAATGTTTTCACTCAATTTACAACTGATAAAATTATAATTATATGAAATATTTTTCAAACCAATATTGAATTTTTATAATAACAATAATAAAAAACGAAATTTGATAGTCATTGATCTCAATAAGTTAATATATATATAAACTAAAAAAAAATATTAATACTACATAACAATTTATGTTATAATGTACTATGTTTGCAAGAAACTGTTTTAAATGACAAACTTTAATAGTAGTTTTTATTCCAATCAAAATTAAATTCTGGACCAAAATGATAAGATGATTGGTAAATTATTATTTATCATGCTCAAAAGGTTGAATCAGCTCCGCAGGTTAACACTGGCATCATTTGTTATTCAGCCTAAATGTGTATTTTTAACATCATTTTCAAAAATATTGAAACTTGAGTTATTTGAACATAAAAAAATATATTTACTATAATTTCATGGGAATTTAAGGTTATTATGTATCGAGTGTTTC